TTTCATACGTACAAATATGCATTACATATACACTTTTTAATTAAATATGAGAATAAGTAAATAAATATTTACACTAATACAAAATCATTAAATGTCTTTATACAGGAGAGTTAGTTATAAAATTTCATTTAAAATTCAATTTCGCTTTCGTACATTTAGTAATTTAAAGGTTATGTAAAGATTCAACATTAAAAATGCGAAGGACAATTTTTTTTTTAAAAAGCTAAGTTTTAAGGATACTATAATAAATATTATATAACAAATCAACACATCTGAGCTGTGATCGTCATAAATAAATTAAATTTAATAAAATATATACTGTCATATTAATCCTATAGAAATGTAACTGTACTAGATCTGGTTCCATAGAGTACGAAATAAAAGATACCTCAGTTCAAAAACCGGTTGCAACCAACGGCCGGCTTTGTTAAATAATACAGCTTTAACTTGAATTAAAATATTATTGTAAATAACAATCATTTCTTTTCAAATTTAATTTTAAATAATATATTATATTTTAAAATATTATATAATAGTAAAAAAGTATAAACGAGTTTTATTTATACCACGATGTTTTTTAAAAGTAAAAGATCCTGCACTACTAGAATTATCGTTTTAAAGAAAGCAATGCGTTTAATTTTAAATTGAGAATGTTATTATTTTTTCTTTTTACATTATCAAGCTTTTATAAGGCCAGTTATAAATAAAGGTCATTTAATATTTTAACGTGTGTTTGTTTTTCTTTTAAAAAGATATTGAGTTGTATTTGGAAAAGATTTTGTCTTTCAATCATAAATCTTTAAATTTAAGACAATTTCAATTTTCTCTAGTCTTAATATTCTGAGTATGTTTAATTTATCCAGAAAGTTTACACTGCTTTGGAGTATATTTATTGTTTCACGATGAATAGACACGCAAACTCATTGTCTTCGCGACAGCAAAATAAATTACACAAATAAATTGAAAACAACAAAGAAAATTAATTTTTGTACAACTTGCAATGAAAATTATTAATTTTATAATTTAAGCTATATATAAAGAAAGACCAGAATAATTGGTTACGATGTTTTAGAACTTTTTAAAATATTATTAAAAATTTTAGATTCTAACTTAACTATCCATATTAACTAAACGTTATAGATTGATTCTACAATCATCAAAACTAATTCATTTGAACATCGCTAAAAGTTGAATTGTATTATAAATATAATAAAAAAGTAAACAATGTTACTGTCCGTTAACAATTTAAAAAAAAATCGAACAAAAAAGAAGAAAAAGCTATTACGCAAGCCAGCTCCTGTCACACGTAATAGTCCGGCGCAAGATGCATCATTAACAAGTCGATCCGTCCTGGCCACATCAGCTGATAGCACAAAAAGCTTCACCTAACATCTGCCGGCCTGAATCACCGGCCCTTGGCTCGTGCCCGCTCGGGAAAAAAAACGACCCTAAAGTGTAAACTCACGCCGACCGTTATAATCGCGCTGATGTGGGTGGACTCACGTGGCAAAGCGCATCGACATTTTAAATCGGCTCGTACAGTGATTGGTTAATTAGTTTTTTTTAAGTAAATAATGACACGAGACATTTATTAACATTTATAAATGGAACTTCATGGTATGAACTTTTAGGAACGATATAATATTTAAGTACTAATATGGAAAAACAAACAAAAATATTCTTACTGCAAATGTTTAGTATAGTAGCTGATTAATGAAATTTTATTTGCAAATTATTACTTGGCATTTTGTTGTCATAGCTTTTCTAGTGAATGTCAAAATTAGAAATAAAGCGCAAATAAAATTAGATTCTTTCCCAAATATCAGCCATTAGTTTAAGTGAGTACTGGTGATTACAAAATAAACTAACTCTTGAAACTGACATTCAAATAAAATTGTTTATTCTCTTATGATACAAAGTGGTCGTAAATCGTAATGTCCTATTGTTTCGTAAACTAAGCTCGTAAATATATTAAATCTAGACATTTAATAGTCTTAACATCATCCTAAGTAGTTTTCAAAAGAAATATAGAATTACTAAATTATAATAAATACAGATTAAATTATAATACAAGCAAGACACATTTCTGTGCCTTTTACTTGAGATTAAAAAAAATAAAAACGTATGAATCTATGAAACAAAAGAGACATTAAAATATGATGAAAGAAGTGGCTCTACAAAGTTTATCAGTAATGTTAATTTATTCTTTTGGCGAGCGAATATTTGTTTTTCTAACTATAAATATTATTAATGGACAGTATGAATTAGATTTGTAGATGACGATATTGTGGGTTATAATTTATTTCTATAATACAAATAATAGAAGACAATTGTAATGATAAAATTTGGGAAAATTCAACGTTGAATTTAGTAGCGTATTTCGGAAACAATACTATATTTTAAGAGTCAGACATTTTTGATGTCTGTATTAAATTTATATTAGGAGAATTTCAATTAATTTTAATAGTTATAATTGCGTGGATACCAGTTACATCAAATTAACTTTAGCTTGTCATAAGATAATTATTAGAGTAAACGCTTTTTTGTTTCTCCTTCATTTCTTATAATAATTATTTATTTAAATATAAATCTTTGTAAAATTACGATTGCTAGTTTCAATAATAAATGAAGAGCCAGAAATATGTACTGATTTTTATCTCTTTCAAATAAAATAAAGCTGAAAGAATATTACTTCTAGAATCCAGGTGTATTTTACGATAAGACATCAATCAAGTATCAAAAAAACACCTTTTAAGTCAACAATAGATACAATCGGTCTACGATAAAAGACCTAGAGGTGTAGTTTGACAGAGCGCCAGGATTGGAGCACGGTGTTGCGCGGGCGGTGCGCGGGCGCAGCTGCCGGGCACATTGCGCGCGACGCGTGCGCACACCGGAGATAATATGGTCGACATATGAAGCATACGGTATAAATAATGCCTCCATAACGTTAAACTTTTTCATGTAAGCGGAGAAAAAAAGCTCAAACGACAGCGGAAATCCGTAATCTAGAATTGTTTTTATCGTCCTACAATAACTTTATGATTAGAGTCGTGATAAGAGCATGCAAATGGAAAGGTGATGATAAATTGAACTATTTTAAATTTAAAACAAGTTATAAGTATTGAGTTATAGATTTTACATATATTCTACCTAAACTACAAACAATTTGTTAATTTTAGGACCTACTTTCGCTGATTTACGATTTAAATTAATACAATTAATTTAGAGTAGGTATACAGGATTAACCCTTAACTTAGGGTAGGCTCCGAGCCCCTCGGTGGGGACGTATAGTGAGCTGATGATGATGATGATGATACAGGATTACCTACTTTCCTTCTTGATGGTTATATTAAAGTACTCTATGTTATTGTAAATAAAAAAATCTCAAAAGCCAAAACGTTTTAAGACTTAGAGCTACAGCAAAGTCATAGCGGTCATTCCTCAAGTTATATTAACATTGAAGCGAATAAATCAAGAGCGCTAACAGATTGTAAGAGATTGCTAAGTAGCTTTTAAATAAAGGTGATTCCAGAACAAGGGAAGGTGTCCCCCCCATTCCTCCCTAGCGCGAAGCTTCACGGTGGTTGTTTTAAAACTAATTTGCTAAGTTACTTTGCAGTCCTTAACTTATAATCGTAAATTAAGTCAAGTACTTTCTCGGTAGAAGTTTTTCTGGTCGAGGCCTGGGTGTTCCGAGTTTCTGGACTAATTATCTTTTATAAGGTTTTATTATATTTTCTTTGGCCTATTATTGTTTTTAAATTACTGTTTTAATATTTTTTTTCAATTGTTATTGTGTCAGATATAATAAAAACTTTTTAAAACTATACAACGTTAGCGCACTGACCGATAAGAATGTATAATGTCATAAATATTATTTATGACAAAAGAATAAATGATAATGTTCGAATATTCTCATGGAATTTTTTGCTAACGTTAAACGTTTTCACTTTGTGAGTATCGATCTCATTATTGCTGAGAATGTTCTCAATTTCACAAATTCGTCTGATTATCGACAAAAAATGTATCACAATTTTTCTCTCTCAATTTCACAACAAATTTCGGCTCATCTCAAGTCATTATACTTTTCAAAATTTCCACTGGAAATATACAGTTATAAAACCGATATTACCATTTTTCGTTTCACGAGCTATTAAATCTACGCTGTAATGTTTTTATTACTATTTTATGGTAATATGTTGTCCTTGTTTTGAATTTCGATCTGTATAAATCGCCTTTGTTATCCTCTAAACGATTAAGACATTAATAAAATGAATATTTCTATTGCGACTTAACCAGAAAATACTGGAAACATCCTGAATGATGTTTCATTACTTATTTTATATTACAAAATATAGAGCAAAAGGGACATAATATATTTACTCATATAATATGTCATTGTGAGGAGCGTATAGTTATTATGTTTCAAAACGTTGGCCAGTTTCGTATCTTTATGAATATTTATTATCTTTACGTTATAAATTTTCTTATCTACATATTTATAGTTCAAATAGTATTGGAAAAGTAATTATTTAAAGGAGTTTCTATTTACTGTAATAGAAAATGTAAGCTCCTTTAGATCACAAACACTGACTTTCTTATTCAGCGGCACGTAAACGTATTACTTCCGCGGCCATTTTACAGAGCTGCGGAACACCGACACGACAAGATGGCGGTAATCTATGCAGACGAATAAATTAATGTAAACCAAGTCCCGTAAATATATCATACTACATGACTCACTTCAAATTAAGACAATTATTTTTTCCAATTAATAACCTATTATTTTTTATTTTTTATTGAAATATTGACTGAAGCCTACCCTTACTAGAAGTTCTGCGTTGTGCATATTTCTATAGGTGACTAATTTACTACTAAGAAATACAATGACAAATATTATGTCCATCGTTTTCCTGACTTTTTCCTGGGTGCAGCAAAGGCAATTATTACTCTCCCATACATAAAATTAAGTCTTCAATAATAATAGTGTTATTTACCTTTTTCTCGGTGAGTTTCTCGCATCGTCTCTGCTTGCAGATTTGATGTGACTTGTCGTTGCGGCAGGGAGCGCAGTCGCCGCAGTTGTCTTTGCGCTGGCAGCCGATGCATTCTCCGCAACGTTTCCGCTTCTTCTTTGTCTGCGACGGGAAATACTAAAATAATGTCATTTCATGTTTCATTCAAATACAATTGATACTGTCTCGACTCCGCTGCGTTTAATTAGTTTAATCATAAACAATTGAATCATTTAAAAATAGTATATTTCGAAAGTACTTTAATAAGTAACAAAGTTAAGAAAATCTCTATCATATAAAATTGGCTATAAATTAGAGTAGTTGAAAATATTTTCGTAAACACCACAATAAAGTCGAATGTAAAAGAAAATGACTACATATTTTCACAACACATTAATGTGAAAAACTATAACTTTTAGAAATTATGAGGAATAACTTAATTTGCATTGTTGTTTAATGTCCGTTAAAAATAAAATATTATATCTCTTCTAACACAAGTTGTTGCTTTTTTATTTTGATGAATGACACTTCTATGTAATATATGATACACCGAACAATGTCAAAAATGTCGCAAGAAGCAGCTGTTCTGTATAAAAAATATAGAAAGCGATGAAAGTTATGTAACAAGTATGTGTAAAAACAATTTTATTCTCTAACAAAAAACGACGTACATTTATGTTGTGCATTTGCTTTTTAAACTTACACGAATTCATTGGATAATTATTGTAGTTTAAACTGTACGTGTAAAAGTGTGCTTCAGTGCTAATGTTTTCGCCAAAACCATAAGATAATGGTTGGTCTCCTTTTCAACTTCAGTAGTTCTTATAAAATGTTCTAGGTGTTTATTTAAAAACGATATAATTAATAAAATTGGATCACTGAATATGATATTGCAAAAAATCGTATTTCGTGAACATGAAGTATTTGCGTTACTTATAACCAAAAACCGTTTTATTTAATTATGAGCCTGTCTGTCTGTCTGTTAGCAAGTTCTTTAATAGAAGGTAGCTTAGAAGGGCTATTTTTTACATTTCACTGACAAAATCGCGGGCGACCGCTATCATTCTATAACCACAATCGCAATTTCTTTTATACAACATTTTCAACAAACGGTTGAGCGACTTTTGTTCGTGTGTACGAAGTCCCTCCATACAGGAATTCAAAGCGGGTACGCTCAGTATCTGAGTGGGATCTTCGCGTGTCCGGTCGCTCCGGGACTCGTTCCCATTAAATGCAAAGAATGTTATTGCAAAGCGGGCCGAATTCGGCGCATTCTACGAACCTTGTTAATAAACCGTCTGGGTCATGCGTCCGTATCCAACTGAAACGATAGCGCTAAATTGATGGCTTCATTTTTACAACCACGTATCTCTATCATAAGATTTATATTTGATTATTTAATATGTTGTAGCTTTATACAGGCACTAGTTTTATACATCTACTTTCTAATTAATATAATAACATCGTTGTATTAACTAAAACTATTATTTCAAAGACTTGGAAATTAATTGGAATAAACTTTTTTGGCCGCTTTATATGAAATTGCTTTTAATATCTGTGCTTAATGTTATGATAATTTTTATTTTTTTTTTAAATACAGAAAAAATAGATTTCAATTGAGAACTAAAATACGCACAAAGTTGCAGTTAGAAAATTGTTTTAGCCCTTTTGTTGTAACCCAGAACAAAGTTTAAGTAAAGCTTTTAGTTACGGAACACATTTTCGTTAGGCGCATTTATAACATTAAATTAATCCGTAACCGTAAAAAAACACAACAGCTGTGATACGATGTGTATCGCCGCCATTTTGGCGCAATTTCATTCGTGTCCGCCTCGGCTATCTTCGCATGTAATCGGAATCAGCCGATTGTATAGAGTAGACAAACAGCTGACGCATGGAAAAAATACTATCTGACTTTAATGTTAGATGGTAAAAACTTTATTCAACTGTTGATAAGTTTATTTATTTATGGTAAAATGGATTTACCATAGTATCATTATTACGCCACAAAAAATATAGGCCAAATTGATTTGAAATTTGGTTATTCCTTTATAGGGAGACATTAAAAATTTTCTAGAGTTTCTAAAAATCATTCATCGAAATAATTTAATGTTAGGAATTTGCTAAAGTAACCACATTTTCTTATTTCATTTGGATTTTAGAATAGTAAGCAGTGTTTTGAAAATACTAATTGTTTGGTACCGTTGCAAAAAAAAATCAAAAGACATGCAGATGAATTGAGTATCTTTTTGATTTTGATTTTTGAAGTCGGTTATATAACATAGGAAACGAGAGTCAAAGAACATAATGTTAGTAGCATTAAGACAATTGTTAAAATGCATTCCAATTTAACATAACGATTATGTAATTTCATTTACTTTAGTGTTATTTAATAAATACAGAAAAATGAATTTAAAAAAAAAAAATGTACTCGGTGGTTTCGCGGTTATTTTTTGTTCATCCAGCTCCATACATTTGGGTAATAAATCACCAAAAATTTTGTCGCCTCTTCCGCTTTCCCTGTTTTGTTCTTTGTTCTAGGAAACTTTCGCAATGGATTTTCCCGGTTTGACTCATTCGTATAATGAGTTCGTAACTTACGAATTGTGAGTTACAAGTTAAAGAAATATAATATCTACTACCCATTGATAAAGTCGAAAATGTCATGTTTTATTTAATTTAGTTAGAAAGAAAAATGTTACATCACGATTTATGTATGATTGTATATTTGTAGAATGAGCTTTTATGATTCTGTTACGTTGTGACTATTAACAGGAAAACTATGTTGCCAAGATTTTTTTTTCGTTCATCATGATATCATTAAAAAGATAAAGCTATAAGTTCAACTTTCGTATAATCGTTCTTGAGCTCTGAAAATAACTAGCTAGATTATTAAATGTATATCCCAACTAGGGTTGCCTGATCGCCAAACCTAATGGACAGACTTTTCGGTAGAAATGCCAGACACCCCACATTATTGAGGACTTTGTCTCAATATTAATAGGTATGGGATTTTTTTTATAAAAATCACTTTTGTTTGCGAAATGTAAAATCTAACAAAAGCCGGACAACCCCGTTACCGTTTAATTTTGCCGGTTAAGCAATCAAAAAGCCTACCTATGTCCGGATTTATCCTGACGCCTGGCAACTCCCCAACGTCCTTTTAGCTCCATGATTACTACACTATGACTGTTCTATTACTTATTATTATCTATTAGTTCTTCTTGGAAGATAAAAATTATGTTGATATAGATGTGTAGAGTCTGATTAATTTAGACTTTAGTATGTTACGTAATCAAAACGTAATAATTTGCCACCCTTAACAAGCTTGTTTTGACGCCCTTGTACTGAGTCCCCTCGCAATTATAGATGACTTTGGAATTTTTAATTCGACATTGAAAATATTTTATTACGTCGCTAAAACCGTATATTATTATTTACATTGTTAATTTAACCAAAGAGTATCACACTTTTTGCTCTCTATTAGGTATCATGTTTTTTGAGTTTATTACAAACCTTTTAGCTAGTTCTTAGATTAACTTGATCTTTGTAATATCTTTAGGTACACTTAACAATATATTTGACTAAGGGTTAAGCATTCGTTTTTATGTTATTCTGACAAAGTAACATGTACAGTTTAATTCAAAAGATAACGGTTTTGTTTTTAGTTAAATTGCAATATTGCGATTAGCTCTTGCGTGCGACTAACAAGCTTCATGATAAGATCTTTATTATTTTATATATACTGTATTTTATAATGTATAACGATAGGTACAAAGCTTCGTAATGGTACAGTGGACATGCGCCCTTATTTGTATACTAAAGTATCTAGCTCAGTACTGTTGTATTATATTTGTGTTCAGTTATTCTATCTAGATATATAGATATACAAAAGTTGCACGAAAAGATAAACACAGAGAGTTTAAACAGTTATTTGTTAATTTACATGGTTGCTTCAACCATTATTTCTATTACTCTATGTTTAGTTCTGTTCAATAATGTGTATTTCGATGTTATAAAATTTTATACGACTATGATAGTGATGACAAGTTTAAAACACTATCAAGATAGCTCACATACAACTTTTATTATTTAGAATATTTTGTAATATGCTGTTAAAGCTACTCAAAACGCAGCTGATAAAATAATATAAAAATAATTTTATAATAACACATCGAATGAACACATGATAATGTACTGCTAAACATTTAGTCCTATAATTATTGTAACCAGTATAGTGGATACTTCTAACATCTAAATGACACAAAAAACCGTTCCGTAAACATAATTGGTTGCCACAGGAGCAGCTGCGCCACAAAGGTGTTTGCTGTTAGACTGGGAAACAGCAGGAAATACTGACATTTATTACGCAAAGAATGCTCGATCTTTCAGACTAGTTACATCATTTTTTTATCAATTCGAATTGCAAATATGTATGTGAATTATCAGGACATGTCCTTAAAACTGTCGCTGCTGACTAATAAATCAGTTATCCATATGTGAAAGGCCAGTGTACTTATAATATATTTGTCCTTATAAAGAGCTATATTGAATATCTTTCTAGCGATAAAACTCAAGCTAGGCGCCGCGAGACGCTTCAAAACTGCCGCCTAATTGCACCAGCCGTTAAATTTGAATGAAACTCATAAAATTTTCTAAGCAGGACACGCGTAAATCGCCCGACTTTAATTTGTATTTTAAACGGGAGAGGAAGTTAATTTATTGGCGGAGCAAGCGAATCGGCTAACTATTAAATTTATTGCCGCGAAGACAGAGTTCGGCCATTTTGCAACTCGAGGGCTTGGAAATAAAAACTGCTCGCCGAATAATAAAAGGTGGAATTACTGAGAAAGTTTCTCTTTTTCGGGATCTCGCGAATATCCATTTTCGACGGATGAAATTCTCAAGTATTTTCTTGAATATTCCATCATATTTACAAATGCCTAGCGACTTTACCGTGAAAAATACATCAAACGGTTACAAAGTGTGATGTTGTTATGTAATAAACAGTTGTTTAAATAATTTAGGCGGAGTCGAGACTTTAGGTCAAGACATAGAGGAAATCTAATCTTTTTGCATAGAATTAAAAGATTATTCTTCAAACAGAGTTAACAGAGGTGTTTCCTTATGTCTTGACTTTTAAAAAAAAGTATTTAAGAGAAGAGAAGCTCACCTGTTTTTCACTAGAAATATCGTCGAGCTCCATGGGCCCGGTGTTCATGGGCGGCGCTCCGTGCATGGGTGACTTGAAGCCAGCCGTGGAGGACACGGCCGCCACCTGCCCGCTGCTCTCCGAACCCACCTCCATGTTGGAACCGTCCGACTCTGAACTGTTGGCGCGCATTTTCCGTCTCTCCTTCTTTCGGAAATCTGATCTCGTTGGAGACGATGCGCTTCCAAAACCGTTTGACTTCTTATCGTATCCATTGTCCAACAACATTGGATTCTGGAAATTGCTGTGATGCAGTCCATTTGGCGTGTATTTATCTTGTAGCGACTTCATATCGAACGGTTCGTTTTTCAACACATGGACCACTGTTGGGCTTTGAATATTCTGTATGAGGCTCCCGTTTTGATGGAGGAGTGTCCCATTTTGGTGAAGAATTCCATTTTGAGTGGGAAAAGCATTGATCGTGGCGATATTTGGTTGATACAGCTGTATATGTCTGTCATCAATGTAAGCCTGCCCTGCCGGCGCCAGCTCCCTCGCTTGTAGTGGTGCCGGTACTATCGGATAGCTTCTAGCATTCACGGCTGTCAGCGTATGGAATGTGGTTGCGTTCACAGGGGATAATGTTGTCAGAGTTGTAGAAAGAGGCGTGACCTGCGCCAACGTAGTGAGATGCGCCGGAGACGACGGCGTCGTGAGCTGCGTGAGCTGGGTTAACTGACTAGGACTCGCGCTAGGCGTGGGGCTCGCCGTTACCGGCACCGGGGTGACGCTCGGCAGCCCAGTCTCCGGTATCACGGTCGTCTCTGGAAACGTCTGGAACTGACTCTGGAAGGACGGCAGCTTGTTGGGTATAGGCTGCAACGTCACCGATTGGTAGTCAAGGGGTGACGAGAATCCCGCGCGCAGTATCGCGTCTTTCGAGTTTACGGTAATAGGCATTGATTCCCACGGCCGGTACTGCGGCTGGCTGGCAATGACGGAGACGGTGTCGCCAGTGCGCTCGTAGTACTCCCAGGCGGGGTCCAGCAGCCGGCCGTCTGCGGTCAATATCCTCTGCTCGTTGTCAGCCATATCGCCGAACGTTGAGAAAGGCGGCAAGTGCGCGCTATCCGCGCCCGCCTGGCTCCGGAGCGCTTCGCTCATGACGTGTTCGCTCGGCGAGACCGCATCGCGTCACTTTTTCGCGTGCCAAAACAATAACACATACAAAAATAAGCTCTACACTAAGTCTATGTTGTACTGAACGATCGGAACTTGATAATTTGTACTTTCTGGCTTCAGTTCACTCTAAATCTAAATAGCACTTATGTTACGACTATACGGCACACCGGTTTACACTACCCTAATCACAATATCTTCTTTTGCTCACTATGAAATAAATAGTATAAAAAGTCCTTTACATACAGCTTAAATAATATGAGTCTTAAAGTTACGGGCTTATAAAATCTTTGGCTGACTTCTTTTTAGAAAATGCTCGAGGAATCGGTTCGTTTGCTCGTTAACTATCGATAAAATACTTTGTGCACTCGTTTAACGATTTCTCTATTATTTTGGAACGTTTAAATACTGGTCGTTGATATCTCTTCTATACTTTTTTGTTTGAAGGCTTCTTTTATTGTAAATACCGAATAATTCAGACTTAAATTAATTTGTACTGTTTGGGAGTTAGCGTATACTTTGAGTTTCTTCTTTAATTTTAACGTTTAAAAGGTTTTAAAAAATAGTGCTTATATAATTTTTGAAACGAAAGATATGACTGGAGGCTTTGGTTTGAGGAATTCGTGTGTTTTGGTTGAGTTGTCTGCTTGTGCGATGCGGCGTGGTGCGTTGCGGTCCGTTGTGTAGATCGGCGCGTGGGCGACGGACCCGGTCCTGCTATCCGTGCGCCCGCCACGAATCTGCCAACAACAAAATATCATATTAGTTACACATTCGACAAAAAACAACCTACTCTAACGCATTGTATTCCTAAATTTATCATTTCGAATAATAAACTTACAAAATATGGCACATTATCTAATAATAGTATATTCTTTAGAGAAACATACACAATAATATAGGTAAGATTATATTTTACATCGGCAAGCGGTATCAATAAGGAAGGTTTGGGTTCATGACCTAATTATAGTAAGGTAGGAAGAACTGGTTCAAAATAAGGCCGCAAATGGAATGAGTGGGGATATTTGTAAAGTTACGCTTTGGCTACGGGTCCAAGTTATTTAGTGCTAGAGGGGCGCACGCGCGCTCCCTTGTTTTCGATCTCTCGCTAATCGATAATGGGATTTGCGTCACTTGCGAACTCGCTTCTGCTTTTTTTTATTCGTATAAAGTTTTGAAAATGAAATATTTTGTGATGCAACGAAATTTCACACACATCAGTTTAGAAATTTTACAAGATTTACAATACAATACGAATATAACATTAATAAGCATTAAAAAAGTTTTTTTTAAATTAGTATCGAGTTAATTTTAAAATATTTAATTTAAAACATCTCTTGTTGTTTGAGAGAAACTACCAACTTAATTACTATGCTTACCAATTTGAAACAAAAAGATGTGCTCTAATTTTTCGTAATTTTTATGTATTATATTAGACATATCCTTTTAATGTTACAAGAGAAAAAGGTCTGTAAACTTATTACCATGTAAGGCTGTAAACAATATTTGTTTTGGGCGGTAATGCGGCGACGGCGATGGCCTCGGAAACAGTTCGGCGTCACGTGGCGCTGTATATAAGCTTGTAAACAAACTATTTATAGAAAGGGTACGTTCATAGTAACGCTACGCTCTATTTCGGAGTCTCTATTTTAAGGGAAACTATTTTCGTGATGTTTCAATTCAAAACTATTTCGCGCGTCTTTTTAATGCACGCGACTATTTTTAATCGACTTGAAGTGGCAATTTTTTCGTTATCATTCAACCAGTTACATTTTATCGTACAAAAAGTGAGAGATATGTTTTCTGGTTATATTTCGGCAAAGCTAACTTAAAATTAACACTTTTGTGATAACGAATTCTCTTAACGTATTAAATATTTATATCAAGATCCAAAAAGCATTTGGTACCTTAATGAATATTTGTTATATATGTTCTGGGTCAGTATGCTTAATTAATATGCTAAAATACACATATACATATGTATATTAAGCATAGACTATTACGTCATAGTTCTTCACAAAAGTGCGATCAAAACGTTCCGACTAGTAATCACCGGGCGAAACTCTTTGTAAATGCGCACAAAGAGCGATCCCCGAAAAAAAAAAGATTAAAAAGCCCACTGCTACTCTGGTGACCAGACCTTGCTATCAGATTTAAGGACACAGATCCTTTCTATAGTAATGTGATTAACTTTTGATATTTTTTATTATGATTATTTTGTTTATGACTTAAATTTCTTAACTAATTTTAAACTTTTTAAAAGCTCAATTAGATTAACTTTGATTAGAAAACTGAGCTTTTCGAAAATGTTGTTAAAACCGGACTATTGCATTATTTTCTGCTCAGCCTAGTCGGAACGGCACGCAAGTCCAAATGACGCGTGTGTGCGCGTCGTCATTCGGCGGTCCGTGTGCTCGCGGGCTCAAGGATTCGTCTGCGAGAATGTGTGCTGTCTGCAGCGCTGTGTGCGCTGTGTGCGAGCAACGCGATACTATCTGGGTCTCGGTTGTCAAGGGCAACCGTACAACCGCTGCAGCGAAAGCGCTGCGCTTGAAGCGGCTCGCTTTAATTCTACGGCTTATTTTTAGAGACGGATGTTGTCGCTTTTTTGTGCGGCGCAGCGTTGCAGCGGGAATGTTTAGTTCACGCTCGGGAATCCTTGAAACTTATAAAAGCTGAACTTGAATATTGCACTGTAATGTTTTCAGTTTATGTTGTGAAGCCGTACGCTTCGAAAACATTTGTTTACGAATTGTGATCGGTTCGCACACATATACAGTTTTAATGAAAAGCAACTATAATACAAATGTGTCTATGGTCATATAACAATATATTGTATTGTCTGGTATGCAAACCATGGGGTTTAAAAGCAAAAAAATTGAGAATAGATCTTTTCGTTTCATACATAATTTTATTTTAAGTGCCAGATTTATCTAGACGATTAAGAAAAATGAAGCTCTTTTAAGCATTTTAAAATTTGAAAGTAAACAACATAAATGGAAGTAAAAGTAGGGCAAGTTATTTCCTGGAATAATACCATTTTTACATGGCAACGAAAGAGTTCAACTGAGTATTTGATCGAGTTTTTTTTCTTGCCACTACAGCTGTGCTACACAAAGTATCACATCCGGCGGCGCCTGCGCATAATACCTGCGCCGGAAACAGATATCTCTGTCACTGTGATCATTTGCTGATAATCACAGATAACGAATACGCGTTTATTTATTGATAATCGTGTATTACATATAATTTAAAGACTGAGTGTTTACCATTGATAGAAGTTTAAAATGCGATTTCCAACTATGATTCTAAATATATAAAGGAAAGGTAATCGTATGTATTTAGGTAATGTTGTACGGAATTTAAATTAAAAATGAAAAAAAATGCGAAATTGTTTTAATACTTATATCACTAAACCTTATGCGAAAGAAATAGTAATTAAAAGATTAGTAAAAAGGTTAACCAGTAGATTACTAAATAAGAGCAAGAACTTATTGTCTTATATTTTAAGAGTAAACTACATCATCATCAGCTCACTATACGTCCCTAAGTTAAAGGCGATTAGGCCATAGTCAGCCACGCTGGCCAAGTGCGGGTTGGGTGGCTTCACACATTTCTTTGAATTTCATCTCGGATATGTGCAGGTTGCATCACGATGTTTTCAAATATACATAAGAAATCGGAAATCGAAGAACATTGGTACATGGCGGGATTTGAACCCAGGACCTGCAAATTGCAAGTCAAGTAGTAATCTCTGAGCCACCGATAATAAGAGTGAACTTATTAAACAAGATTTTCAATTTGTGAAATGTCTTTGTCAGTTCAGTTAAAATACTAAGAACATTAATATGTACCTCATCAGTATCTGTTTACAGTTAAATGCAAATTCTGAAAGGAACATGCGCATTAAGACTGTAAAATTAGCCATTCGTTGTCATTACGTTTATAAATATTTTCGTCTGAACTCACGCCCATTGAAGGTCCTTTGCTAAGTACGTTTGTGAATTTCTCGCATTATTTACTTCGTCAAATCTTATACAATGATTCATCAGTACATTTAGTCAAAGTTTATTAACGCTTTGTTTACATCATTAATTTAAAATAATTGAAGAATTATGGAATCTGACATAAATTAGTATAAGTTTTTTACTTTACGTATTTACTAAGGTAGTCCGTACCATCCTATAATTACATAGTCTCTATTAAGTGGGTTTGTGGTCAAGCGATAGTTTATTCAATATAAAAAAGAGTCAATTAGAGTAAAAATTAAGTTTTGAATAATTGAAGAATCTATTAGAATTATTGATATTAAGAACATGTTCAGGAATTTCGAGTGGAATCGAGCAGAATAGAAGACGTTTGTATTTTAAAATATTTTGAAGCATTGTGTTGTCCTGGGAAACGTACAACTCGCCTCGTAAAGTAAAGTATTTAAACAGACATTTACTGCCGCTTTATCATATTATCTTAATTTTCAAATAGAAAAAAAAATAAACGGTTCACAAAAACACTGTTTCTTTCATAGTCAAGTATTTACTCAACAATCAGTTACTTTAACGAGTTTATCAACTTTAAAAACATGAATTTTTAAAAGAAGTGATCAATTTTAAAGGCTTTGTCAACTCACATTTTATTCAATAACAAATTAAATTTAAATATCGTTATATTAGCTTATTCTGTATAGGTCACTAGCTATCGCCCGCGACTCCGTCCGCACGGCATTGAAAAAAAACTTAATCAGTAGCCTATGTGATCTTCCAGGCTATGTTCTACATCTATGCCAGTTTCTACCAGATCCATGCAGACGTTCTGGAGATACCTTCTAACAATCATCCATGCACCCATCTATCTATCCATCCAAACATTCGCATTTATAACATTAGTAAGATTTTATCTGCGAGACTTTGAATTTTTGAGGAACCCACTTTAAAATAAAATATAAACGATTCTAAGCGGTTATGGTGAGTACGTTTTACCGACGTGGATATTACAAATCATTGTTTCTCACAGCACACAGACCTACATAGCGTCATCAGCGAGTAATGACAGCGCGCACAGGATGCGTGCATCAATTTGATTGCCGACCGCCGACCGCCGCGACCGCCGCACCGGGTTCAATCCTAGTTGTTATTTTGTTACATCGACGCTTTGATACACAAGTGTGTTATATACCAGTAAGCTACTGTTGAATGTGACAAGAAATTTGTATTATACATAATCCAGCGTGATAAAGAAAAAAGTTACTGAAAGGTAATCATAGGACAAAACTTTTACTATGAAGTTTATTTAAAAAAATTGTGTCCGTTTTATGCTTGAAAATATAAAGTTTAAAAATGGAACAATAAAATTAAACAATACCAAGATATCAGAAAACTTCACTAAAGTGATCAAATTAATTTGACGTCACTTTAAAATGTAAAAGGCGAAGACAAAGGCAACACCGCGATTAAGGCGCATTACAATGATAAGGCGAGGAAAGAATCTCCCGATATAGAGTTACCGTCCCATCCCATTCAGGCACTCGAATCCAGTTGAATAGGACCGCAGATGTGGCGTTTTTTACAACAATCTTTCCCACACTACTACTTTTTCTGATGCTTTAATACCTTTACAAACAACACTGCTTTCTATAAAGTTAGTGTTATCACAAATTTCATCCTTCACACAACACAATAAGGTGTTTAATGTAACACATTATACAATTTCAAACGCAAATATAATGTTGCTAGATACAGTTTTGTAAAGATTTTTTGTCGCACACGTCTTTCTACTATCGGATGCGACATAGGAAATTGAGCATTTTTTCATCGCGCGCGTTTAAAATGGAATTGTCTGAAGGAAGTCACACATGCACGGTATGATTGTTTGATTTACTATTGTGATCTTTTTTAAATTTAGTTTGTACTAGAGAAAATGTTCATGGATTTAACTAATAATTAGAAATACCATCACTAAGTAACTCCTATTGGAGATAGCCTTACATCATTTATACTCGTATCATAAACCGGGATTTACTTTCCATTTCAATGAATTTAAGGTATTGTTAAAGATATTTATGTACTAAGTAAAAAAGAAAAAATAACACAAAATTAAGAAAAAAAATGTAACAAATAAAAATCCTACTTTTCTATTTATTATGCGTTTATTAATATACTGGCATCAGAGAATCAATTTTATAAAAAAAATCTTAACGAAAACTTATTCGATTTGTCTTTAAATTGTTAAATGTATTATAATTAAAATGTTGTATACAGCATTAATTTAGTAACTAGTTTTATAAACCGCACCGTGAACCTTTGTGCCTAGTTTCAGAAATATCAATACTAAAATATAAAATCTCAACTATACCGTCGTTCATTCACCGCCGCGTCTACAAATATTCTTTACAATTACAAGCTTCCAAACTTTACCCGCAATACTAGACGATAAAGAAAGTGTTCGGTCCCGTTATGAAAACTGGAGGCGTCTTTTTAGTTTGTTCAGGAGCAATATGAAAGGGATTAGAAGAGTATGAATCAACTTAAGATATTAGAGCCCTTACTAAAGATTTTCCAAAGTACCTTCAATACTTTATTAAAGTTTTGAATGTTTGCTTAATACTTTGTATTTACATGTATTAGATGGCAACTTTTAAAAGTTTTAGTGTGGTCTATTAATTACTTTAGTTATCTCCTAAGTTTAGGTTTATCAAAGTATAACTGCTTCGTAAATTAGTAATTTGACAAAAATAATTTATATTTCAAATATAACATGAAAACACATTATATACAATAAGCATATAATAAATATGTATAAGTTATACATAACGTTAAACTTGATACATGAGTTGTTTATACCTTAAGTGCCAAACTAAGAAGCTGTAGATTTTAAAACAACTTTTTTGGAATACTTCCAACTTGTAATATGTATTGCAAAAAATATTAATATGTCTTATTGTGACGTACAAAAGTATTATAACTTAGAAAATAAACATGGTTAAAAATGTATACTATTACTAGTAGAACTAGTAGCCTGTTTGTCTTCCAAACTATATTCAACATCTGTGCCAAATTTCAGAGAGATTCAGCCTTTCTGAAGACACCTTCTAATAAACATCCATCCATCGAAAGATTCGCATTTATAATATTAAGAAGATTTCATACATGCAATATTACGGTATTATATCGAATGATGTCCGGTCATCTTAACTTATGCATAATAACATAATATAACATATCATTTAGTTTTGGGCTGATTATTGTTTAAAGATATAAAAAATACTAAGAAATCATAGGAAACAATAACTCGTGCGTCAATTTAAAAAGGAAGCAAGTCCATTGCACAATCCAATGCGCCGCTCTGGTTATAGCTACAGTTAGCTCGGGCGAAATTGGCCAATTTGTTTATTTGTTTTCATTGGCCTCACTGAACTTGACTCCCCATTATCGCATTCACGGGAGGAAGGAGTATTATCCGATTATTCCGTGGGACCGTCCGGGATTCTGCAGCCGACTTGCGTCTGCTAAAGAGTTCTCACACTACGGCTACGGCTGGCCGACTGGCTTATGTCAATGTATGGAATTGAACTTACGAACGTAACGAACAAAACATATAATTATTTCTTCGAAAGTGATGATGCTGAATTTAAGTAAATTTTCATTATTAACGTAATTATCAAATTAATAAAGTTTTTGATACTGTTTGTATCCCAAATATTTAATATAGAAAACGAACATAACACCTTTTGCTATAGAATATTATATAATAATCCAAATTCTAAAGTAGATACGCTAAAACAAAACCTATTTCCTATGAGTATTATAAAAAGTTGCACTAAACTTTTAAAAGCTCATAGCAGTGAATCATTCCGGAAAAACTAATAAAGGTATACGCGAGCATAGAGCAAGTAAATTAAACATCACAGAGCCGCCAACTTCAAACAAGCCCAACAAGAATTTGTATAGCTAAATAACTCTGCCGCTCTAACGTTTTGATAAAACTCCACATTTTTGTCCCGAGGAATTCATTCGTCTGGACAAAGATCGCGTTATTGAATTCCTTTTGATATAATGCTGCAGTACAAGGTTCATTTTCGAATGCAAGATCTTTTATTATTTATTTAAAAAATATACTAATAAGAAAAGTGCGATGACAAGTAGATAGGCCTTTTTGAAATATGTATAATTTATGTTGATTAATAATTTCAATTATAAAAATATTATTTATTGCGTAGCTTAGAATTTTTCATGTCACAAAAGTAACAAGTTAGGCGTATCCTTGAAGTCGCAAAATGTTCGATGCGTTGTCGTACTTGAATGCGCTTCTGCGCATTATTTCTCGACACCAAAACAACTTTAAGTATCAGAACTCGCGACTTAATGTCACCAGACGAGACGACGCTGGCATTAACGTCTCTACATATATGTACCGAGGTGCGTTCACACAAACGCGCTCTTATTATATGTCATTAAAATGGACTCTTTTAAGTTAATTTCGCTGTGCGCAATTAAGGGCTAAATTGCGTGACATCATGCGCAGTAACGATAGCGACGGTTCGATGCGTCATCGAGACTCGGTCCATTCATAGTGGCCCTTATTCCCACAGGCATGTGATCCGCTAAATATTTACATTCCAGTCTAAAGATTTTACTCAAACTACACCTCCAAACATCAAACAACTCGGCAATATACGACTAAAAACGTCCCGCCACTAAACTACGTTAAACACTAAAGCTCTTAAACAAATCCGTTAAATATATTTACCGATAACAATAAAAGCACTCTAGATTCGCCGTAATACAAACAACTCTGTAACACACACGACTACAACAATTCTCGTTACAAAACGGGAATCGATTCGCGAAAGCTCCACGGCGAAAGCTCCGACGGAAGCACGCAAACGAACACCGGACCTCGCTTCACGCTCTACTGCCGGCGTGCCTCTAACAAAACCACAAAAAAAACATCCAGAATCTACCACTACAACTCAAACTACACTTGCACAACTTAAAAAGCTCGCACAAAACTTTCTGCGTTGAGGCGGCCGATACCTTCTCTGGTCGCTCGATCCATCCGCGCCTCCTTTTTTTCTCCGTCTCGCTGCCTCGGAAACACAAGAAGGACGCGCGCGAAAAATAAACAAAAAGGGATTAGAAGTTCGCGATCGCGTCAGTGCGTGTCGTCGGTACGAACGACACGCGTATACTCGCGGCGGCGGTCGGCGGCAGACTGGCGCGCGGCGGCACGGCGCGGCACCGCGGCACGGCACGGCGGCAGCCGGCAGCGGCACACAGTCGCCGCTCGTCGCTCGCCGTAACGGCTCTCAATTACACCAGCGATACCTCGCTGATATTTTTCATTCCCGCTCGGAATCTTCTATTTTATTCTCCATGTTAATACTTTATGAAATAAAAAAAAATATTCATAAATCTATATAGATTCAAAGTGTAATATTTACCAATGAAGGTTAGTTAATAATTGTTACACAAAAAACAATTCAAGAAATAAATACATGTTTAAAATTATCATTTATCTTAAAAATTGTAATAAAAGTTTTTCAAAAGTAAAATAAGAGTTATAACGTGTGGTATATGCTAAAAGCGCAGCAGTAGGGGCAAGGCAAGGCGAAGCGCACAGCTGCCGCGGCGGCCAATGGCGCGCGGTCACGTGACGCCCCGCGCCCGCACACGCTTGTTTACAAATAATAATAATAGGGACGGTGGCGCCGCCTCTACAGCGCGGCGGCTACGCGCTACGCGCTACGCACAGCTGTCGGTGCATTTGGCGGGATTCGGAACATTCGCTGTTGGCTGATGCTTCGATCTGTTTACTTCGCAGCTTACGATGCCGCTCGATCGATGCTTTGCTTGTTATTCAGTCAGCATGACACTACTGCATCGAACTGTGCGATTAAAGTTGTATTTTGTTTATAACCGAGAATAAGAAAAATAATTATGTTCTTTTTTGATTGACAATTAACTATCAGATTATAAGTAGTCATCGTAAAATGACAGTAGTAGAGAAGTATTCAGATATATGGATCAAATTTTAAAGGATTGTTTTCCATACTTAACTTAGATCGCAGTTGCAGATTCATCACCTCACTTTGTGACTACCATCCGAGTGTAATGAAAAATTGTCGTAATATTTATTTAAGTATGAAAAACGCAACAATAGCCACCTGTTTAGTAACTCTTTATTGGCAATACGTCGGCAATAATGGAATTATTTAGTCATTTTGCGAGGAGGGTGCAGAACTTCCCCAGTGCTTGCCGGTCTGCGACAGGTTGCTGTTCCGATTGTTTCGGGACCAGGATGTAAGGTGCAAAGAGGGTTTGAACCCCAGTGCATGCGCTCACCTAAATATCTCTGGATAGACCCCTCGGAACCCCTGTGACCCCTGGCCACGTCTCATTGAGATAAATGTACCAATATTTACACTTAATACCACTCATTTGTTACAACTTACACCTTTATACTATAGATAGGTACATGCAGAAAAAAAACTGAAAAAAAATACTTTCACTAAATTTTATTTACTATTTAATTCTTTGATTGGATTGATATTTGTTTTCGATTTGAACAACAAATGCTTAAATCTGGTTAAACGTTGTTCCACAAAACATTCTGAGATTATTACTCTAAGAGTACTTAAAAATATAGTAATCAAATAAAAATGACAATGTAATTTTACTTCGTCAATGTTTTATTATCGAGTTTAGGAAAACTCATAAATAACAGTTATTGGAAAGAAAAATTGTTCATCGCATAAGAGATATGCAATTCAAAGTTAACTTTTACGACACCCCAGGGAACATGTCCATTTCGACCGCTTGCAAACATATACAATACCCTTCTTAGTTTTAATAAATAAGCAAAATAATCATTATTGTGTACTTTAGATATTCGCAATATAGTTTAGAAAAGCCTATGTATTACAAATGCGTGCTTTTAATTTTTTTTTAAATTTTTCCTTTTGGATTATATGTCTCCATTAATCCTTGATGAGTTTGTAATTCTAACAGACCTTGAAACGGGTGATAATAGAGCTCTACATTTCTATTACACATAAAGGCGAGGCTAATATAAATGTGTTATCTCTATTGCATTGCAAGAGCGTTGCATTCTTTAATAAAAAAAGAGATTTACGATAACTATTAAATCTTTAGGCTCTATATTTAAATTATGTTATTCATCTATTCGTTACATAGCGTTTAAAAGGCTGTTTCTTGTAAATAAACGATTTTGTATCATATAATCTTGCAGTATTGAAGTTATTCAAACGGCCACTTCGTGAACTACCCACGACTCGTCTCAAGATTCATAGCGTTGTAATATTCGTTGGCGGCGGGCCCACTCAATCGATTGCCAGCTCCCTGTCTATGATGACTCATACAATTTTCACGAATTTCCACTATAAGTAATAACTTTATTTCTCCTTAACATATTACTGGTTCTTCTTACTCATATAAAATGACTAATTTTTGCTAGGATTTTTTTTATCCTATTGAAGGTTTATTTTGTAATGAAATGGGTGATTTCATCTCAGTGTCATAGTGAAGATACTTATTTATGTTTCAGGTTTTTTAAGACTTCATAATATTAAAGGATGGTATTAATTGTACAGACCGACAAATAAACTAGATATTATAAAGATAATATAGCTATAGGCTGAGTGCGGACTTATTGGAATTGAAGACGCGATGCCAGTAAATTATAAAAGTAATTTAACTTTATCTGTTAAAAACTAGGACAAAATGGATAAGGATATTCTGAGCGCCTGACCTTTAATTCTAAATGTTTTATAGATTTTATCATTTTATTTTTTACAACATTTTAATTTCTAAATTAAAAACCTAAATTATAGTTACGTTAGTAAACTGATGATCATTACTTCATCTACCATTTGAAGATTAAAAAATCTTAAAAGCCTTCATTTTTAACTAAATAAATATGTACTGAGTATGAAATTTCTTTTTAATTAGTCTGAATGATGCCTCTAATAAGGAGCATCGTTGACGTCGCATTTCTGGTGCGTAATTACACAACTGACGTTGAAACTCGTTCAAGCTCAATAAAAAACTTAGTTATGCTCCATCATATCCCTTTTCAAACACCGGCCGAGCATTCCGAAGTGCGAACGTGGAACGGGACCAAATCAAAAATTAAAAAGGTTGCAACGCGTGCAAACCGCGCTCTTGCATCGCGCCGCGCCAATTTCATTGCTACAAAAGTGCGTAATATCGATTACTGGCTCCCTCGCCCTCAGGCTGTCTCTTTCCTACGACGCACGACGTGCTCTCCGGACCAATAAAAGCGTAAATTTGTTTGTACCGCGAGCACCGACTCTGTGCAATAAGCGTACACGCCATTTTAAGTTCGTCAGGAGAGACTTAAGACCTTTGTGCACTGTCACCGGCGTCCCCCGCCGTCGTCTCCATGGTGACCGATCTGTCACACGCACAGAACATAAAACGCAGCATTGATTTTTTCCCCGCTTCCTCTTTACTTTTACGCGTGTCGAGCGACTTTTTGCCTGGATTTTTATTTTTAAAAGTGCGAGTTTTGGCGCTCGCCTCGCTCGCTTTTAGACTTATTGTAATATCGGGACTTTGAAACAGGAGTTTTGAGCCATGAGTGCTATTATTCTTCTAGTCATCTTAAACGCTCGCTTTTAAAGGTTTCTTTTTAAATGAAGTATAAAATTTCTGTTTTGTCAAAAACTTTTGTGTATTTCTCAGTAAATATATGATTTTCATACCACTGCTACACTACACCAAAAATAAGCGGTACGCAAAACATTTAAATTTGTATGTTACGATATGTTTTACGAACATTCGCATACTAACATATTTTCTGTATGTTATGATTTTTTTTATATTAGTGGTATTTGTTTACTTCTTCTTTTAATTAGTAAATGTATTATTATGTTTATAAATAAGAAATTCAAGTTTATATGTTAAGGGTAAATTTGTTAAGGTAGGCTCTGTAGCCCCCAGGGTGCGGGCTGAGGGTTGAGGTCTCAATCCCTCACAGATGTGGCGATTTCCACCCTCTCATCCGTCGTTAACTCGATTCAAGGAAAATATGTTGTCTTAAGGGAGCTAAGCAACTCGAAAATCGACAAGCAAATAATATTTATATAAGATTTTTTGCACAATATTTTTCTCAGAGTTCGAAGAATTGTCGAACTGTCGGGTTCAATGTATTTATTATATTTCACATTTTATCATTAAGTTAAGCTTTAATATAATTCCAGAAAAAAACATATCGTCATTCCCATCGTTATCTTTGACAAAACAGAGGTAACAATTATATGTTTTAAACGGGTTATTACTAAGGTTTTTTCACCTCTCTTCAATGATCATTTTTATTAATAGCAGACATCGAAGTAGTTGACGGGTTCATTATTCTTAGTTATTTTAGAATTTGATTTATTTAAAATACATTATAATATTAACTCTTACTCGCATTTCAAATACACAATTTATGTATACATAAGAATACAAAAATATGTTTTTATGTGATCTGTTGGAGATATACCAATTATTTATATAATTTCTTCTTATGTTAATAATTTAAAGTACACAATAGATTTTTTCCGATATTTGTTTCTAAAAAAATTTTTTTTTTATCGGCATTTCCTTTGAAATGTATTAAAGTAAAACTTCTTTTACAGTATACGTCATTTATTTCTATTTTTACACAGCGTAATAATTTACATTAATATATTTTAAAACTATTAATAAACCCGAGTTTTATTATTGCTCTATCTACTATTTTCTAAGTACACACAGCTCTGATTTTGATTTAAATACGTTACAAATGTATTCATAGTAATTATTTGTGAAAGAAAAAGAGTATTAAGTATAAAATTTAATTATCTAATTTTACTTTTGAATTGTGATTAATATGATTTGGAACAAAAAATGTATGTAAAAATATGTAAATCAAAAATTTACAATTTTTTTTACTTTTAAAACACATTTAAACATCTTAAATTTGGATTCAAGTAAAAAAAAATGTAAATCCTTTGATTTAGGTAATACTTTTTTAAATTTTAATACATTAAATAATACTCAGTAAGTAGGAGGAAATGCTTCACGTAATTCTCTATAACATTAAGGCAAAACTTGTTTAATTAATATTAATTTAATCTAAACATAATAATATGTCATGTGAAATAAAAATTGTTTCAATAACAACTTCAAATAAAAAAACCTTGAAACAACTGTTTCGAAATTTATTGCTTAAGGCGCCATCTATTATTAAGTAGCGAAAAATAAAACAAAAAATTAAATACTTCACAACGACTACATCACAATTTGTTAAACACACTATGAAGCTTCAATTATTGTTGACTATCGTGCACTGACAGCAACTGGGTATCCAAAACAAATCCGTGTAGAGTGTCTGGCCGCTTGTTTCCAGTGCAACTAAACGCTTCTGAATGTATTTTTGTTCACAGCGAGAACTATATCCCAAAGGTATTGTGCACAAACCATTACATTCAGTGGACCTGAAACAACAATTAAACGGAATAAAAAATATGTTTTCATATGAAAATGGTTATGGTTGTATTCGCTATTCGACAATAGATGTCGCTTACCAATTACTTTTTAACAAAAAACATATATTGTATAACAGATGGCGCTGCTTCCTTTTACCACTCCAAAAGTAACTTGAAATAACTGTGTTTAATTACTATAAAATTTTAAATAAAACTTACGCGCAAATTTCAGCGCGCACTAGTTGTGTCATATTGTCAGCCATGTTGACGACGTATCGCCAGTTGCCCTTGTTGTTGAGCGCCGCTCGGGGAGTGATGAATTGCGTCCTAACTCGACACAACTCTTGTGTATTGTCCTGCGCTTGTCGGCGCGGTCTTTCAGCAGAGCTGTCCTCACTGTAAGATGTCAAATATGATACTAAATTAATAAAATTAATCATACCTAATGCAACCAACGCCACTGGCCACCATCTGAGAGGTACAGAACATTGTAGTGGCTCGTAGTTGTTCAAAATGGATAAAAAAATCATGAAACGAAACATCAATATAACTTTTCGTTAGAATTATACCACATGAAATTAAATAAGCAATGTAAATAACTTGATGAACCAAATAATATACTTAGCCAATCCCAGAGCTATTCTGAGTGCCTCGGCGCCGGTCAGCTTCTTCTTGGAGGCCGCCTGCACCAGCTCAGCATTTCGGCGCCGGCGCACTGTGGTCGTGTGCGACGGAAACGATATAGAGCGTTGGATTGTCACGCCATCAGACCGAGAAGGTGTCATATACCTGGAAGAACAAATGCCACAAATTAAAAAAGCTGTGTGATATCCAAGTTGTATAGCACTTAACGATAAATGTCGCTAAATCGATCAAAGGCGTGTTTAAGTTTTTGTAATTTTTTTTTAAATAAATATACAGATTTATGCTAAATTCAAAATATATTTTCATTTGTGTATAACAAGCTCTTAACTGAGCGTGATAGTATTCTAGTTAACCGTTTAAAATACCATTTATTAATGAAAATTCCAGTACAAAAATCAGACTTACTTCCACCATTCTGTAGGATTGTATCGTGTGACGCTATCAGAGTCTGGCTGTCGGAACCATTCGACGTCGTATCCTGGGTACAAGTTAGGCTCGTTCAAGAAACCGTGGTTGTAACCTGGAGAGTGTGGAATCAAAGTATGATGCCTCAAGCCCTTCTTGGTGTAGTCGTACTGGCGATTACGGTTCCAGTAGTTGCCACCGGCTAAGTAATCGTTGGAGCCGAACTTCGTGTTGTTGGGCGGCAGATACACGTTGTATGGAGATGGGTCGACAGGTGATGGCGGTTGTAGCGGAGTCTTGTCGGAAAAGGCATCTGTAAATTAAAAGTATATTGCGTTTTTAAGAATATATAACTTACTATTAACAATTGATAATTGATGAATTCTTTATCACACTTGTACTTGAGGCTTTAAGACACATACACAGTCGTGTCTCTTAGAATATAGAATGAGTCACTTTGAAGCCTCAATAGCCTAATAATTAAAGGTACAGTTTGTTAGTAATTTAACAAACACTGTTAATTAGAAAAAAAACATTTACCAGGGGTGTATCGCCCATGATACTTATGCACGTCCTTGTGGTGATGTGTGGTCGTCAGAGGATCGTGCACAAGCGAGATCTGGTCGACGTGCGGTAGAGAGTTGGGCCCGTAGCTGTACGGGTAGTTGCCCTTCTTCTTGGCGTCGAACTCGTCTCGGCTCTCATCCGTCAGGAGCGTCCGGATGTCGTACTGTCCTGCTTCTATCAATTTGTGGATGACGTGTCTGAAAGAGATAGTTAGATTCTAATAAAAACACTTAATTGTTTGTATTTGGACCAAGTCTTTCATCCTCGCAGTCTATCTATAAATAATGTTCACTTTCCAATTGCAATAAAACATTTTGAGACATTCTAGGCAATACTATAAAATTAAATCTAATGTGACGAAGGCCGTCCCTATCGAATTGACTGGGTCGTACATTGGTAGGTTAATCCATAGTATATTACGGCATACTCACTCCGGGTATGGCTCCGGGTGCAGGCAGTATGTGAGGCCGGGCTGCGCGCAGGGCGGGCTGCGGCCGGGTGGCGCGGGCTCGAACCCGCATTGCTGGCCGTACGGGCAGCTGTACCCGTCGCCGCCACTCACCAACCACACTAACTATAAAACGTCACATAATTAATTTTATTATACATTTAGTATGATAAAGTTACATCAAGAGACTGCTTAAGTTCCTATTATTAGTTTAGTACATGATTGATATCATAGTGATGTTTTAAAGTTTGTTTTTATGTATGTATGTATGTATAAAAATTCATTTGTGACTGTCTAGAGCCTAAACGAATGAATCGATTTGATTTGATTTGATTGATTTTTATAGACTTTAAAAAAAATCAGCGACCGTTACTACTGCGAAAACCGAAATAAAAACTAAAATAGGCTGACTATCCATAAAGATTTCAGTTAAGACACACAAAAGAGTTTTTATTCTCTTTTCAAATTAAATTTAAAATTCGAATAAGGACTTAAATAGTCACTTACAAATCATACCAGGAATAAAATAAAATAAAAACTAGAGATTCGATAATAATAATACGCTGAGTCATCCAGACAAAGCAACATATTTGGCACCACCCGTGTCATTAGCTTACGCAGTCCGCTCTGGTCTCGCCTACATACAAGCCGACACCTTTCTCAATAGACGCGACTCAAATACAATAGAATCGACCGTATAATCGATCTATACGTGAAATAAATTGAGTCACAGTAAGGGTACGGTTATATACCAAGCGATTAGCGGATGATTCTGCTAAGCGATTTTCCAAAACAAGTTTCGTAAAATATCAAAGTGAAATACTTTTATAACTTATATTTTTGCTTTAAATTTTTTTTTGTCTTTTATAATTCTGACTGGCAACTTATAAAAAGCACTGTTATTAACGTAATTTTTGTCACATGACATACCATTTTCAGATATGACTACTTATTATGAACTACGTGTAATTTGGAAATGGAATATGCACAATTTTTTTTAAATACTTCCTCGTCCGGCGACAGTGTGACCCCACACCGGAAGCCTTGCATTCAAGTTCATTCTCCGCGTAGCCTGCGGCCTCCGGCTGACTTTTAAAGTACTATTGTCAATGTCAATTGCAGTTACCGAATGTCATAAAACAAAACATCAAATAACAAAGCAACAAGATGTACAAACTTAAAATTGAATGTTCGAAATTTTAATGTACTTTGTTTATTTTTGTTTTTACTAACCTAAATAAATAAATTGTGCAACAATAAGTATAAATATGGATACTTTATTAAAATGTGTCGAACAGTAGCCTCAATTCTATTTCCCAAACATTTCAATTTCGTTTTTTTTATCAATTTAATAATTATTATTAAAACTATTTATTATTAAACCTCTGTACGCTTATTAAATAATTAGTTGTCACACGCGTTTCCGTCCGCATGTAAGTAAAAAAAATTAAAGTAGTAGCCTATGTCCTTCCAGACTATGTTTTACATCTATGCCACATTTCAGCGAGATCCAAGCAACCGTTTTGGATGTACCTTCTTACAAATATCCAACTATCCGTGCATACAAATATATAATATTTATTCGCATTGATAATATTGGTAAGTTGGAATACATTCAAAGATAAAATAAAAGAGACATATATTAGGAAAGATCTTTAAATAAAGATACGAAAGAATAGGAACTTATGCAACTATCGAATACAGTGACATCGTAGTCTCCTACATTATTCAAGGCACAAGGATAGTAGTGTTCGTTGACCTTTTCTATTAGATTTGTCAGTTCCTTGCAAACCGTGCGGGAAACCGTGGGAAGTGTCGGCGATATGCGGACAGCGTCAGATTAGTCGGTAAGCCGCTTTCGTTTGTGTGAACTGCATGCCTGATGTGGTGACACCTTTATTACTATCTTTCGACGCTTCCTCGACCAGAATTGAAGATCTACATACGAATGAATCAAATAATATGGAGTATATTACAATGGAAAATAAACCATTTATTAAGCCTAAGACCGAAAAATATTGATGTATTTTATAGTAATAAAATGACGTCACATACGTCTTTTGACTCATGGGTCTACAACCGAATACTTCTAATAAAATACATTGTCATTTGTCTTCCCCTCATTCTCATTATGCTGGTGTTTAGTGACCCTACGGTTAGATCATACATATATATCATCAGCTCACTATACGTCTCCACTGAAAGGCTCGGAGCCTACCCTATATTACGGGTGACTAGGCCATAGTCAACCACGCTGGCCCAGTGCGGGTTGGTTGACTTCACACATATCTTTGAATTCCTTCTCAGATATGTGCAGGTTGCATCACGATGTGTTCCCTTCGCCGTAAGAACGTCGGATAAATGTACATATGTTATAATCGAAAAACACATTGGTACATGGCGGGATTCGAACCCAGGACCTACAGATTACAAGTCAAGTACTTAAACCCCTGAGCCACCGAGGCTCTTGACAAGATCATACATAAGTGTATCAGAAAAAATCAGGGCAAAAATTGCTAATAAACTTTAGCACATAATAGGTATAAATAAGCTCTGTAACCAATGCAGATAAGAATATTATATTAGGCAAACTTGACGAATTACATTGCAATAAAAAAGTGATTTACTATTTCTTACCACATATGTTATTAATGATAGTATAATTATATATTGTGTCAAGAACGAGAGAACGTAACTTTAGTTATAATAATTATGAGTATTCATTAAGTTTTATTTCTGTTAATTAAGACAGTATTGAATAAGGAAATGTACGTAACATTTTGCTAGGTATGCCGCAAGGATTTATTATTTATATATAACCATTATATATCTAGTCGCTCTATTATTTAGTAAAGCGTCGGTGCCTCAGGGGTCAAGCACTTGACTTGTAATCTGCAGGTCCTGGGTTCGAATCCCACCATGTACCAATGTGTTTTCCGATTTGCGATTTACATATTTACATTTATCCGGCGTTCTTACAGTAAAGGAAAACATCGTGATGCAACCTGCACATATCTGAGAAGAAAAATCAAAGATATTTGTGAAGTCAACCAACACGCACTTGGCCAGCGAGGTTGACTATGGCCTAATCACCCTTAACTTAGAGTAGGCTCCGAGCCCCTTGACGTATAGTGACCTGATGATGATGATGATATCTAGTCTAGTGGTTAATTTTGCTATCATACCTCTTTTGTTGTTTTTTTATTCATAATTATTTTTTACCAAAAACATAATACAAGATTGGAGCTTTGTATAATGATGCTTTGAACGTTATTTAAGATATTTAATTAATTACCGCGGGTTTCTAAGTCGAAAATCTCACAACATATCGTTATTCCTGTAATTATCTTTTATAAAACAGAGAAAACAATATGTTTTAAGCGGAGATTTTGGTCTCAGAAACCCTATTGATGATTCTTTAGTTTTAAAGTGAAACTTTACCCATATGTTTAATCAAATGTCTATGACGAACTTTTTGTCAATAAACTGATCTAAAAACGGCTAAACACTGACGTATATACGTGAGTTTTAGTCGTTTTTATGTCAGTTTAATTTCTCACGATAGTTTGAATAATTTTTGTTAAAAGTTAAAATACCTAAGATTGAAAACAATATCCATTTAAATGTTAAAATATTTAGTACAAACTTTTGTATTACAATCGAAGTTAAACAATGATGTTGTATAACAAGTATGTAAATACTAGACATGTGATAGTAGACCTATCTGTTACGATACACTCCCAAGAATATTATAATTATGCAAAAACTAAACCGGAACTATAAGGTGTTACGCTCCTCTGTGAACCGCATTGTGATGTTACGGAGACTTGCAACTTGAGACTGAATATTACAATACGGTGACTAATGCTTATTGAGGTAAAGTTTGACGCACAAATTAGTTCACATAGATTGTCTTTTTTGCTCAACTGGTAGTAGGGTAATATGTTACGCTGGTAAATCCTTAAACTAAGTTAACTAACAATTATGTACGTGTATTGTGACTTGTGACTTCCTTCAGGCCACTGCTGAATTTGGCGGGTGATGCATTATTCTATTCGTAATATTTCAGGCTTGTTGTTTAATTTTTTTCTATTTAAGACATTATTAATTAGAATCCTTTGGCGCGAATGGCGCGCTTTCATTAAAAAGTCAAGTGTCACAATCATTAGTGAGGGGACATAAACGTGGACATTTTAGTAAGGCTAGTGTTGTGCCTTTGCACCGGCTCAGTGTCGGATTTTCTTCTAATCTTGAATTTTGCATGTAAACTTACATGAAAAGGGACTGTAGAGTTGTTAGAATCAGTGCATAATACTTTTAGTATATAACGCATTAAGAAAGTGACCATAAAAAAAACATAAACACGATCGTAAACACATTTACAAGCGAAACCAGAAGATAACGACGGATGCTCTCATGAATGTTGAGCGACGAGACGCGGCCACGTGTTGTGAAATATAGTAAACAAAACACATTTCAAAACATTGTTTTAGTTGAAGCAAATTGTGGAGTAAACATTTGTGTTCTTTCCACAATGCTGAGTGCCTATAAAAAGTACAACAATAAAATGAAACAAGAAAGAATCTCCAATAGCTTATTGGTTAAGAAAGAACTGCCGATCACGCGGTCGTGGGTTCGATTCCATTGAACTTGATTTATCTGTTCTATATGAGCTTAGAGCTTAGTTGAAATGGTTACAATTAATATTAATAAACGGCAAAAAGCCAACTAATATTTTAAGTAAAACATATATGTAATTCGCTAACTTCTAAAATCAGGGATATTTTAAATACTGTTAACAATTATGTAATTACTAACTGTCGCCCGCGACTTTGTCTGCGTAGAATTAAAAAATATCATAATTAGATTATGTGTTTTTCCAGACTATATTCTATATGTATGCCAAATTTCATCGAGGTCCGTTCAGCCGTTCGGAGATACCTTCAAACAAATGTCCACCCTCCATCCAACCAAACATTCGCATTTATAATATTAGCAAGAAGTAAGATTATTAAATTGTTGACGTAGATTAGTTATTACTATAACTAATTAATACAAGATACCGAGAAGTTAGAAGTGGGCGTATTGTTTATTAAAAACTGTAACGATTGCGGTGTTACTTCAAA